ATTAGCTCACTCTCTAACCTATCAGTTTAAAGGAAAATAACTCCTTACTCTGAATATGTTTCATGCGCATTCTATTTTTCCTTTTATTCTGTATCATTTTCGCTCATTTTAAGCATAACTATGAGCTCTGAAAGTGTACCGTTATTTTGCTTTGCTTGTTTCTTTGAAGTGCGACAAAAATGCATGCATGTTTCTTGCGACAGCCGATTAGCACATCTTCGCTTTCATGTCACTTTTTGCGTGTCAGCTGGAAGAGTCTGAAAAAGGGAAAATAAAGGCTTACAGGGAGTGCGGGCACTCTATTCTTCAAATATCAAAAAATATTAAGCGCAACCGTAAAGTTATTACCGCAAATTTAAACGATGAGGATACATATGGGAAAAACATGAAAGGTCGACCATCATCAGTAATAACAGCAGCTGAGAAGCGAATCATACCACGACACGCATCTAATTCCCACGACTCAGCCGCCAAAATAAAGAAAAAACTGGTGTTAAAGCGTGCGTTCGGACTGTGCAAAGAGTTATTTCGAATGCTTAACATATGAAGCATCTAAAATTAAAAAAAAACACCTCTAAACCAACTTAGAAAGATGCAACGACTCAATTTCTGTCGATCAAATATGACCTGGACTAAGGAGTAGGAGCGTGTAGTCTTTTCAGATAAAAAAAGTTCGATTTCGAGGGTCCTGACGGCTATGCCTACTATTTTCATGATCTCGGAAAGGAAGAGCATACTTTAGATCGATTGCACAGCCGTGCGGGTGGTGTCATGGTGTGGGGAGATTTAACATACTTTGGCACTATAGAACTGCAGTTTCTTACCAGCCGTATGAATGCCATTGCGTACAAACGTGTACTGAAACGAATTTCCCTGCAATCAAGGATATTTTTAGACCCTTGAAATGGAAGTTCCAGCAGGACAATGCACCTATCCACACAGCCAGGATAGTAAAGTCCAGGATTGATGGTCAAAACGTGGAATTACTGACTTGGCCGCCATACTCTCCCGACCTAAACATTATAGAAAATGTTTGGGGTACGAAAGGTGTACGAGTCCGGCGGGCAGTATTCAACTGAACCAGAACTCATTGAAGGAATAAAAAGGTCTTGGGAGGCTGTTTCACTCAATTATATAAAAAAATTATATGACTCCTTACCTCAGCGGATGTACGAAGTCATACTTAACCGTGGAGGCTCAACACATTATTAATCTCTTTTCAAAAAAAGTTAAAAATATTTAAATTAATATCAAAAAACAATTTGAATGAAGTTTGAACCCATTTTCTTTTGTTATTTGAAGTTTTCAAGTGACTGTGCTAATCGGCTGTCGCAAAACTAATAGTGAATTTTGTAGGTTATGTTTGTTTACATTAATTTAAAATGTTATTAATACAGCTAGTATCCTATCTTCTATTAATTTTCGTGCGAAATTATATATTCTTTTAAGGGGAAAAAAATTTATTTGAAAAGCTTTTTTAGTTTTCCTGATATTAAGTTTCTAAGAGGAGCAGCATTGGGTGTGCTAATCGTTTGTCGCGCAGTGTATATCTGTCTTAGTTTTATTTTTTCCGAAAGAATTTCCATTTCCCCAGTTCATTTCAATGGAAAAAGTTTTTTCCACCGAAGTGCCACTGTTGGAGAATATTGTGAAAAGTATGGATTCTTAGTGCGTTCTTTCTAGATAATGGGGTTTGTAGCACGTCAGCTTTGGCTCTCATAAGTTGGGTTTAATCAGCTGAGTCTGGTTAAACTGTAATAATAATGGGTGCTATTAAGCTTGGATTTAATGAACCGACTCAACATTCTTTCAGAAAATTTTAGCACTAGAATGTCTTGCATGTGTTCCACAGATGAGAAAAAGTAATAAAAATATGATAATTCCAATATGAACTGGTTATATTACTTTAAAGATTTTTACACGTTATTGTTTTATTTCGATGTTTATCTTTTAAGAATTCTACTTACTATTATGCTAATTGATTTTTCAGTACACTCATTTATACTATTATATATGTATAATATATTACAATATTTTTAGTTATTTACAAATATTTGCAGATACAGGTTTTTGAAATAATTTACTATAAGTATTTTAAAAGAGTACATACATACATAGATATTAACTATATATTTACAAGTATGTACATACGTATTCATGTATGCATGTATTAATAAATTTTTGAATATTATTATTTAACAAACTTTTTTTTTATTACGCTAAACAACCATAACTATTAACTTATGTATATCCTTAAGCAACATTTTTACTTAATTGCAATCCTATCTATACATAGATAATGCAATATACTTTCTTAATTAATCTCATAACACATACTAGTATGTATAATACATACGCACATGTATTGGAAATTATATACAGTACAACTCTGCTCCATTAATTTCGTATAGCATATCGATTTTGTTTTTAATTTATTATATTATATATCAATAAGTATCTTTACCTAAAAGCTATGATCTTTTATGAGTGTGCTCCGAAGAAATGGCATAAGTTATTGCAGAGAAAGCAAATATCTGATTATAGTATTTAACAATTGAAATTGGTGTTCTTTATTTTGCTTCATCTTAAGTTCTATTCTGTACAGGAAGCCTTCATCCAGTTAGGTGGAAAGTAGTGAGGCAAAATCATAGTCAAGTTAGAGCACTAAATAAAAGTGTGCTTTATTTTAATCATAGTCGACTTATTCTAAAACGATAAAACGAGAAATTTCGATGGTGAACAACTCGATTATTCTACACTTTCGTCTACGAGCAGCCGACTGCTATATAAGGGCGACACTCAGCTGCCAAGTCAAGTTAGTTACAAAGTGAACTCGTTGGCGTTAACATAGAGTATAGCGGACTAAATTATTTGAGTCGTAAAGTAAACGCGTTGGAGATTACATTTAAGTAAAGTAGATTGTGAAAGTTTATGCAAATGATTGTAGCTAGTAAAGTGCTTTGTAATTGAATTGTGAATTACTGAGTAAATAAAGGACATTAGATAAATTCTTTGTAACAAAAGAAACTGCAAATTAAGTTGGCGATTTTTATTTAACAATCTAGAGATCGTACCCGTGGGATTCAGAAAATCATCGAGGTTGATTTAGCCAAATCGTAACAATATATACAAAAGAATCGCTTTGAGCCTACCTTATTTGATTCGTTTTTTTCGGGCGAAATGCTCTTCGTGAAACTTACAGAAATTTATTTATTTTTAAAGTATGATATTTGTTTTTGCTATTAATGATTCCATAGACAATTATGTTTTCTATTAATTTTAAAAATCAATAAAAAAGGTAACTGGAATGCGTTCCTAGCACATTTATCTTTCTTGACGACTTGCCCAACTTTATTCGCATTTATTATCCTATACAAATACAACATATGTATTTTTATGCTGCTATTATTTTTATTTATTTAACAATATAATTTTTTCCATTTTGAAGTATCAAAGAAAATATTTTAATATCAGGTGTACAACTTGGCTTCCGCCGTTTTCTGATAGGTGGCTGTACCGGCTGAGGCTGGTTGATATACATAGATGATAATTCCTTTAAAGNGTCGCTAGCGAAGGACAATACTTTGAATAATATATCTGTAAGCACTTTTTCGCAATAAAAAACGGCGGAAGCAAAGTTGTACACGTGATATTTACAGGAATGTTACTCAGAATAATCGTCAAAATGACCGAATAATAGCAATAGACTTTGGAAAAGAAGACTTCTTAAAGTTGGCTCTTGCTATCACAACTATGATTATTGCCCAATAACTGTAAGAGGTATACAAGCAAGCTGTAAGCATATGAAATAGTATGTTAATCAGATAACAATATAAGAATTTACTTGACCTGAGAGAAATTAATTTCCCATCAGGACATTTAGAAGGCGTATTTAAAATTGTCCCTTAAATATGTACATCATATGATTGACGATGCAAAGCTTTTTAGCACCATCGGCATATAACTAAAATTTTGAACATTTTATAACAGAAAACTAATTGTTAACAAATAACAAGAATGGAATCGTACGCAGGACCTTACGAAACAGCTGAGAAAATATTTTTGGTGTCCGAAAAGGTATCTTTAAATAATACTATTGGCGATATGGCACAGAAATAGGAAGTTATCCAACGCAGAACACCAGATTGAAATTTAATAAGTGTTATGAGATTTACAGTTTGCTATTTGCAACCATGCTGGGTACTGAAGCTGCGTATAAAAATGCTCTTTATAGACATAATTTCTTCTAAGTGAACTTCAGCGCAATCGTTTTCAGAGTGTGACCCCCAATATTATTTTTGTAACTAACTTAGAACAATTGCTCCCTATACTGAGATTTATCGCGTTCTGTTATTAAGTTTGTATACAAAGCTCAATCTTTTCAATCAAATCCTGTTTCAGCACTGAAACCTAATTTCAGTCTTGGCAACAGAGAAAGTCGGCCGGAGTTATGCATATCGGGCCGATGCGGACTTCGTTTTTGACTTTTAGTAATAAATATTAGTTTCATCTGATGAAAACTTTGTATTTGTTGATTGACAGCATTGAACCCTGTAAACAAACTAAACGACAGTTCCCACTCAAAGAATAAAGAATTTTAACAAATTCAATGCCGCGTTTCTTCGTTACAATGACGCAAATTTGGGCTCTGGGTATGACGTAGATAGCCCCAATAAGAAAGTATTTTCTGGGATTGGATCTGAGACTGGTCTATTGGAAAAAACTGACAAGACTTTTCGAGCAAAAAGAAGAAACGAATGATGCTACAATCGCGTAAGCGGTAAAGTAAGTGAGTAACTTGAAATTTTACCTAAATTGCCATTGAGCACATTTATTCCACCGAGAAGTGGACCTGGTACCGGTTTCTATTTAGGCTTATTTTTTAAAAGTATTCAGATGAATTTTTTTCCACAAAATAGATTGCTTAATTTTTGTCCGAAACGCATAGCGAAACCAAAAAATAAATTAATTAAAAATATTATTAAAAGTCTTCTTAATAAGAACTAACCAATAACTTAGTCCGGTCGTAACCTCTTTGGTTTGGTAATTGGCATTTAACAAATAAATATTTAATTTCTTTTATCCACCCACTTGATTTTTATTTTTTCATTTCAAAAGTTTATATAAATTCTCGAAATGGTTCATCGTAGTTGTTGTTGTTGTCATTCGCATCAAAACCATTGTTCAAAAGTAATGCAGTTGTTGTTGGTTGTTGCAGCATCAACTGATTGTGATTGCCTTGCATTAGATGCTGCGATAACTGTGGCTGCATATGGCTGAGACTTTGGTTCTGTATTTGTATTGTTGTAGTGGCGGTTGTTAGACGTGGTGTCTGCTGATTCACTACATCCGATGCTGCTAAGGCGCAATCATATGAATTTGTACCATTCGTGAGCACATCCTCATAGCAGGAACCGGAACCGGGACCGGGCCCATTGACATTACCACCATTGCTGCTACCATTTAAATTCAAAATACCAACCCCAACGCCAAGGCCAACATCGTTTACTCCCATACCATTTTGGCAACTTAGATCGGTGGTGGCGCCATTCAAGATGACACCATTCAAATCCAGGGATGGCTCTTCGTTACGTTTCGAGAGAATTATATGTGTCAAATTGATAATATAGTTTTTGGCCAAAGTTAAAGTTTCTATTTTGGATAGACGGCGCTCCATTTCCACATGGGGTATAACTTCACGTAGAGACTGAAAAATAAAGTGATATTTATTGGTGTAAAAATTGAAAATTCTTATTTTTTATATAATTTGGTGTATAAAATCGGCTTCCTCAACTGAAAATGTTCCGATATTAAAAATTAAAATAAAAAAATTAATAAAATGCATGTCGATTATCCACTCAGCCTATTACGATAAATTTTTTCCATCGCAAATATGACAGTTCCAGAGCTTTTTACTCAAGTGCTGCTCACTAGGGCGAATAAACTTTTAAACATAATAGGCCAGCTCGGATACTTCGATCCACATATTTCAATATTATTTATATTTTAGTAAAGAGTTCTTTTTTTTTTAGATGTGGTTTTCAAGAAGACATAAAACGCATATAACGTAGTGCTATAACATAGGGATGTACAGTTACAGTTGCGGGGCTAAACTCAATTCCTGCTATTGCGTCCACGTCGCTCACACTGGAAACGTGTGCAACCCTTGCTAAAAATGCGGTAACCGGCCGACAGGAAGCTTCAGTGGAGCCACTTCAACTTATTCGGTTTAAGGGTCCGCTGAAGTCTAACTGCAGCATATGTCCATCAGAGGTACGGCTAAGAGCGGACGTCCACGTAAGAATGGCTAACATCAACGCCGTCCTAGAATTGCAAGGGGCAAGACAAGAACGGAAGCGAGTACGTCCCTTGGACATTTACTACAGCGCCATATAAAGGAGCATAAATTATATGATATATAATTGGCGTTTTTGTAACCGCTGAGGCGATTTTCGGCCGAGCTCCTCCTTCAATTTGTGGTATAGCGTCTGGATGTTTCCCCAACAAATGGAGGGACCTACAGTTTATACTTAGCCGCCTCCGAACGCTAAGTATAGAAGAAGAAGCTTTATTTCATGTCAGAAATACACTTGGAGGGGTTGACATTCCCTGCCGAGTGGCGACCGCAATTAGAAATTTAACTTAATTTTTTTTTTTTTAATTTAAACTAATTTTTTATACGTTGTTTTGGATGTTAGTATGACACCAGGACTTGAACGAAAGTCTTCCGAATGTCAGTAAGCATTGCTAACCACTCGGCTACCGCGGCCGACAGCGTAAATTAAGTGCCGGATTTGTGGTGAAAGAGAGAGAGAGACTCCGTCGCATTCATTCCGGTGGAAGAACGTCTCGCCACAACCCGAATCAAAGCGAAATTTTTTAACATTTCGTTGACTTGCGCACTGATAGAATGGAATGACGATTTGGCCAAATATGCCTTTCAATGCCTGGGTGGGAAAAGTATCATTGGTACAACTGGAAAATTGAGCATCCACAATGAAAAATCCCCTAATGGGTGGAGGCTGATCGATTTCCCGGGGTCCGAAATATGGTTGTATATAGTACTAGATTCCATTATAAGAAAATACATTTAGCTACTTGGCTGCCCCTTAATCGAAAATCAAACAACCAAATCGATCATATTGTGATAGACGGTATTTTTACCGTGCGTACACTCCGAAGACACAACATCGACTCGGACCCCTATCTTGTTGCAGCGAAGATACGCATCCGTCTCGGTGTGTCAAAGAATGACCTTCGACAAACGTTAGGAGAGTTCGACGTCGAAAACTGCAATCACAACAGACTGCCGACTTGTACTAACGTGCCGCTGTGGAGAAAAACCAGGTTGCCTACTTCGCAACATTGCGATCGGCCTGAACACGTATGGGATGGGATAGGTACCGAGAAATGGACCAGCACAGCTCCAATTGTTTGCCGCATTAGCAGATGGATTCGTATCTTCTTCGAGACTCTGCTCCACAACAGCAATAGCGCCTCTAGTGATGCGCACTCGCCTCTGTCAAGCAAAGAAAGAAAGTGAACAAATATTTGAAAGGTTCGACGCTGAAAAGCTGTGTTCACAGTAGACAGACAAGCAGTTTTATATTCCATATGACTGATTTGTTTCAGTATGAGGTCGAAAATTCGCAAAAAAACATCTATGAACATCGAGGTTATATTATATGGTCCACTGATTTTAATGATTTTCGGTGACAATCTTCTCAGCATACCAAATCTCATACTGTTAGTTTTTTTTTTGACAAATTTATGAATTAAAATCTCAAATCTAAAAATCTAATTGTAAATATGCTCCCGACAGCTGTGACAAATCTAATCTACCAGTGCATTTGAGTACCAAGTTTGTTTGGAACTTCTCTAGTTTGCGTACAAACAGACCGACGGACATGGCTTCTGCAAGTCTATCTCTTCTCCCTTTGGTGCGACTCAATCGGCTGAAAAGCAGATCTTCACAAAGGTAGTGCTCCAGGGTTTCCTCATCTTATTTGAATGCTCTACAACTTTACCTAGCTTGTGAATGTAAAAGTTTGGTTGATCTTCTATCCACGCTGGCCCATAATAATTAAGTTGTACGGAAGAGGTTCAAGACATTAAGTGTTCTTCCATGGCCCATGGCTGCTTTAAACATAATTTGAAAACGTTAAAGATTCTGAGGCTAACTTTTGTGAGAGCCTCGACCTTGGCGATAATGCGAGGTAGCTGACCACCTTTTCATTGCATACTTCATCCGTGTGACTTGGGACTCTAGTGATATTTAATGGGTTTTCCCGCGATAGTCAGTTAATTGCCTCTTTGCATATTCTAACGCAATGATATCTTGTGAAATCCTGATTGATTTTCCTATCAAACCCATTGTCAATTTGACACCTTACGTAATGGCCACAAGCTCTGCTTGCAATACAGAGTTGTGGTCATTGAGTTTGTATCTTTACTGTTACCGAAGATCTCAGTTCATTCCAGGTGGCATCTAACCGATCTTATATATTTTTCTGAATGCTGCTAGGAAAAAACTGCATCGAAAATATCGACTACTTTACGAATTTTTACATAGGTCGTAGTGCATTTAAGCCTATGTAGGTCATAGTGGCCGCTGTTTAACTGTTTTCATCACTACTTTGTTTTAAGCAGCATCTACGTTTTGTAAACAATTAACTCTGCATGCTGATTCGACATCAGGTTTTGGCCAGGCTTCTCTTTTTTATTGGGTCTTCTCATTCGATATACATATATATTGGATGAGTGCATAAGTTCGTGCCCGATTTAAAGTGCAAACTAAAATTGAAATTTTTTGAAGAAAGCGCTTTTATTAATCAATTATGTATTCGCCATCATGTTCGGCAATCCACTCCCAATGTTCAACCAATTTACGGATGCCTGGTTCATAGAAATCACGCGGTTTCTCGTTGAAAAAGGTGTCAAGGTGGTTTTTGACGTCTTCCACATTTTTAAATTTTTTCCATTCAAATTGTTCTGTAGCGATCGAAACAAATGATAATCAGAAGGTGCAATGTCGGGTGAATATGAGGGATGCGGCATGATTTCCCAATTCATCTCCTTCAGTTTGGCCAGGGTCGGTTTTGCAACATTTGGCCTGGCGTTGACATGATGGAAAAGAACTCCTTTGCGATTGGCCAAAATCGGACGTTTTTCATCAATTGCTTTCTTCAATTCGACCAATTGCTGACAATACTTGTTAGCAGTGATCGTTTCTCCAGCCGGCAAGAGCTCAAAATAGATCACCCCTCGGATATCCCACCAAATGCACAGCAATCCACCTTTTGACATCGGTCCTGCCCCTTCGTGTGCCTGTTTCCATGTTCTTTTGCGTTGAACATTGTTGTACAGGATCCATTTTTCATCACCAGTCACGAGCCGATCCAAAAAAGGTTCGTTTTTAATCCGTCGAAGCAAAGAAATTGCTGTTGACATACGGTCCACTTTGTTTTTTCACTCAACTGATGTGGCACCCATGTATCGAGCTTCAAAGTGTACCCAATCTTTTCTAAACGACGAAACGCAGTTGATTTGTTGATGTTCAATTCACTGGCAACCTCTTCCGTCGAAATACGTGAGTTATTCGCAACTAAAGTCCTTAGAACATCGTCATCAAGCTCAGAAGGCCGTCCACTGCGAGGTTGATTTTCGAGGTTAAAATCTCCATAACGAAATTTCGCGAACCATTTCTTTACTGTGCGGTGTGCTGGAGCACGGTCCAAATAAACTTCCCGAATATCTTTAGTTGCAGCGCCTACTGTTTTTCCTTTGCGGAATTCGTATAACATAATATGACGCATATGATCTTTTTCGTTGTCCATTTTCCATGCGTCTTTTCACTAAGCAACTCAAATCAAAATGAAGTTATTTTATGCTTGATTTACAGTTCGGACTGTCACCTTTCCAACGATATATAATATGTATATATTTCTTTCACGAGCGCCACTCTCAAACGATTCGAACGGCATCCAGCGGAATCGGGCACGAACTTATGCACTCATCCAATACATAACAATGGGAAAGAGTTTGATGTCGCATCTAAAAGCGTGGTGAACTTTTATGGGAAGCTGTAGCACTCGGTGATTTCATAATACTCTAATACCGGCTACCTTTAAAAGGGTTATTGATTGTAATGAAGATGAAAAAGCGAATATAATAAAATGTTAAAGCTCAAAGTAAGGAAGTGTAAGTATTTTCTTGCCATTTGCTTAACCTACATGGCACTTTTCACTTTCCATTCGTTCGCAGCATTTACTGTACTTACTACTACATGTATAAACAAAAGTAACGGATGTATAAAGTTACCTGAAAAGCATCATTTAAGCTGTGCATTCTCATGCGTTCGCGCTCATTTGACTCCAATCGCCGCAGATTACGTTCCTTTGCATTGAGAACACCTTTCCTGCGGCGATTTTGTGTGGAGCCTGATAAAGTATTCCTACCGCGGCTGGATGGTCGTGCACTGCCGCCATTACTGCTGCCGCCACCGCCACTTGTGTCATCGCTTTGTGAACTTGAATCTGTCATTTCCATCTCATAATTATTATTGCTTAACTGAAATGTAAGGAAAACGAGAATTGTCTTGGGCATTTCTTATAAATTCATATGCATTCTTAAACATATGTATGTGTACATATAAATATATATATTTAAAATACAAAACATGCTCTATCGTACAGTCATTTATATATTTACAATACATATGTATGGATGCTGGTATTTATGTATCATTACCTGTGTAGTTCTTTGACTAGCTCTCCGCACAGGTCGTGATGATCCTTCCGGCAAATCAATTGGAGATCTTGGATTTTCACTACTAATGCTGGAATTTAATTGATGTTGATGCATTTGGTGTTGTTGCTGTTCCAAAGTCATATATTCATGCGTGGCCAGAATATCGGAAATATGATTAGACCCCATTGTGAAACTTGTAAGCGGAAGAACCTAATAGAATATGAAAAGTATTTTATTACTGCTTTAGATTTCTGTATTATCAGCCACTTTCATTTTATAAGCATACCATTTGTCTACGTATGTACATACATATATATACTAATAAATTTTCAACTGTATCCCAGGTGCACATACACCGTTAGTGAGTTATTAAAGTGCATGCAGATGGATTAAAGAAACCATCTTGTGTATGGGCGTAAATCAATAGGGGTATTCTCATATGTCTCGAAACTGCATAGTAGAGTTGTTGTTTAAGAACAAACGATTAAGTAATCAGTAAACATGTATTATGTTATCAGAAAAGCTTTACCGTTATATAATTGAAAAACGTTTTCCTGAGATGAGATCCTTCAAAGTTGAGCTATCTCTAGTTGATTTTTTGTGTTTGAAAATGGAGGCTATACAAAAATATCTTTAGAAATATTATTTGTCTAGAATATTGCCAGTAATCCCTTATTATTTATGATTTATTATTTATTAATGATTTGTCTTCAGTCCGAAAATATTCAAAAATTTGTTTATTTTCTCATGTTGTAAAGCTTTTTAAATCATATCCAAACACATTTAATGGGCGAAGCTGCTCTAGAGCGCAAAAAAATGTACATATTTTATGAATTTATTTTGACTCAACAAATGCATCAATCCAAAATCTGTGAAATAGGTTTAATAATATAGGTTTTATGGTACAAATACAAAATTTTTCCTGTGAATTAATTTCAAAATGGCCGCTGTCCAGCATTTCTCCGAAGACGCATTTTTTTCTAATGGGTCCATGGCCGAAGGTGTAAACTCCTTAATTTTTGTCCTGGATCAAAAAATAAAATTTTTTTTTTGTTTCTATATAACAACAGCAAGAAATGTACGTAGGATTTTTTCGATATTTTGTTTTTTTCGCGAAATGGTGCACATTTGAACAAAAAGTTATAATTTTCACTATAAAAACGATACAAAATTGTTGTTTAAAAAAAACTATGTAATATAAAAAAAATCTTCGGAAAACGGTATTTCGAATGTACTGTCAAAATTTCGTAAGAATCGGCGTAGATTTGTCCGAGTTATGTATTCGGCCAGTTTAAAAAAAGTGATTTCGAGAAAAACGCATATCTGCGAGGCACTGACGTCGAATGAAAAATTTTGGCATTTAGAGACTTCTGCCGGCATCCATCTTTCGGTATGTTATTTTTAAGACCCTAAAGCACCTTTTAAGACAAAATTTTTTTTTTCCATTTTTTCAAATTCTAGACCAACTTCCCCCCTCAAATAATATACAAACCGTGATATTTTCACGCAAATATCTTCAGTCAACGTCTTACACAATAGACAAATATATTCTACAAAAAAGTATGTAATTTTGTTTGACTTGGGTGAAACAATGGGCAATCAACTTAACAAAATATTTTAAAGACCTGTTACCAATATTGGAGTACAGCTGAGTGGTGTAGAATACTAATTAGAATGTCCACTCCGATAAAATTGAGTGCATTCAAAAACAGTTTTTGTTGTCTGCTTTGCGCCATTTCCATTGGGATTCTACCCAAAATATTCCACTGTATATTAGTCGCTCAGAACTTATAAATCTACAGTTTTAAGCCGTAGAGTAATGCTAGAGGTGATTTTTTTAGTACAATTTCTGAATGGACTTGCAGCTCATTTCTTTTAGGTGAAGTAAATTTTAACGTCCCCACCCGATTATCACGACAGTTTAGACCATTTGTTTTTTAAATCAAGTAAAACAAATTTTGAACTTTATGAACCTTTTCGCCGTATATGTCAAAATTTCAATTATTATGACAGCACATTTGATTTGACAGACTCACTTTACGTAACTAAAAATTCTATTATTAACCGCTCCTAATAAGAAACTCTATAAATTTAGTTAATAGCATAATCAATCAAGCGTATATTTCAGCTGATGACTTTGTTTGTCGGTAGCTGAGCTGTTTAAAATCTCGACGCTTAACTAACCCTTGCTTTTCATGACGATGCGATGAAATCTAATTGAGAATTAGAAGAGGAAAGCTGAAATAATCGAGTTTGAAGTGAAGGAAAGACTGCTCTGCATCATTTTTGAAACCGTTACTGACTGGTGAATTCTTATAAGTTTAAATATTTAAATTTATTGCTTTGAGAGATGATACATGACGGTTGGACTGGTCTGTCGTTTCAGCGTATATGGAAACTTTTCAAGCGGGAAAGAATTCCGTTTTGAGTACTGTATTTGAAAAAAAGCAAGCTATAACAGGTTAAGAGTAACTAGATCATAGCCAAACGCTGTTTTGGGTTTGATTTTTTCATTTACGCTTTTTTACATTAGCTTTGAAGGCACCTTGTAAAGGTCCCTTTGATGAGAGTGTTCGATTGACATTTTTTACTATAAATTCTAGGGTCAGGGTAATGCCGATATTTTGAGATTACTCCTTGCAGCCAGAAAGAGTAATTATTCGATGGTACACAAATAGCGCCTTTACAAACAAGTTACATACTTTTTGAACTACTATAAACCTAAAATTAAACCTTGCTTTTCATGACTCGGCGAATTCCGTACGTCATGCGGATGGCGCGCCTAGTGTTGGTTGGGCTGTAGGAGGTTAACCGTTGGGCTTATTATTATTATCACAGATCAACGATATATTTCATATACTTAAAGTGTTACTTTTTATAAAACAATAATTCCAAAATAACCTGCAGTCCTGTGTTATGTTGAGATATTTTAATTTGAGCATACCTAAAACCGTTAAATTGAAATTTCTCGCATGAAAAATGTTTTGAAAACCCTTTTAAATTTCCTTAGTAACCCTTGCACTAAATGCCATTACATGTCGACATGTCAGAAGAGATTCAAGTATTAATAATCTCAACAATATTCTGAATCGTTTTTTTTTTTTTTTTGTATGACATACCCAATGATAATATATCTACCAATCAAGTCAAGCTTATTTTGAAATATTTTACAATACTATAAAAAACTGATTTCTTAAGATTTGGGTATACGAAGTTAAAAACGTGTCAATTAAAAAAAAAAAACCAGAGGGAAAGTTGTCATGCCGAAATCTCCTTTAATGAACATTTCAAATTAATTGTATTGTATGCTTTTTTGAAAAAAATTTTATATCTAAATATCGATTATAGGCAATCTTGCGATTTCAATGATTTTCAGTGTAAATATTTCTGTGGTTTTGTATTGTAGAATGAGCGTGTTATTGAAGTAATTACCACCTAAAATCACATATCTGAACAAATCGATTTTATGGAGATTATATGTTATAGTAATCCGATCTGGCCGGTTACAATAAATGATCCTTCAAATGTCAAAATAAATATGTGTTAGTTTGCGTTCACACAGAAAGACAGATGGCTGACAAGCTGACGGACAGATGGACAAGCGGACATGGCTAAATCAACTCAGCTTGTCGTTCCCAACGGTATTAATCTGGTGGATACTTTTCTTCTCATTCGGACCAAAGTAACTATACCTTTGCAAGTTCATGATACCTACTAGAATGGCTGATTTTGCAAAGTGTTCGTCTTCTGCAATAGCTCATAAAATAAAAAACCATACAAAATAAAAAGCAAAAGACAAGTTTATTAGAAAATAAAATAAATTTCGTATTTATTCAGCCTAGCCTATCCACGTTTTTGAGCACTTTATCCCCACTGTAAGCTACACTATGCCTCCCTCAGTAGACAAAAATCAAAGAATTTATTGTCCAAAATGTGAACCTTTTTTTTTTCTTTTTGGAAAGGTAAATTTATTCAGCTTTAAGAATTCGAGAAGTATTTTTCCTCAAAAAATACTTACATATATTCTGTTGGAGGCTACGGAATTTCAACCATTTTATGCCAAAATAGAGTACCCTTCTCGGAAACAAATGTCAAAAATACTTATCTATTCAAAATAAAAGGGCATTTTCCCACTTTTTAATTCAATAGTATAGGGTACATGTATAAAAATAATTAGAAAAATGCTTTTAAAAAGTAAATATTTCTAATTTTATATTTTGGCGTGTATAGCTCTTTTGATAATCCTTGTGAAATAGTAAATTGTAGTGGCATAAATAAAAAATATAAATATTATTATTATTTAAAAGAATTAATAGATAAATTTCTTGAACTTTGTGAAGTAAGGAATTTTTTTTACAAAGTTCATATGAGCGATATTTTAAACGAAAATATAAAATTCGAAAAATAATTATTATCAACTAAGCAATATTGTGACACGAAAGTTGCCTTCGGTTTCGCCGATGTCTTTATACTTTTCAACACAAATCTATTCTCATATCTGAAAAATGGGTTGGGCTATGATGATGATTTTCAGTGTCAACGATTAGCTGTAGATACTCATACTCTTAGAACCTTTTTTGACGGAGTTTTGACTAAAGTCTCATACTTGGAAAATCGTTGCATAGGAGCTATCAGCTTTTTTGGGACAATCAACGGAAATATTATAGATTTAACTTAACTCGTCATTCTAACCCAATCAGTTAATGTCAGTTAATGGGTCTATGTCTTCTCTTACTGGTTCTTACATCCTTTGGACCGAAGCTTATATATTGGATGAGTGCATAAGTTCGTGCCCGATTCCAAGTGCAAACTAAAATTGAAATTTTTTGAAACAAGCGCTTTTATTAATCAATTATGTATTCGCCATCATGTTCGGCAATCCACTCCCAATGTTCAACCAATTTACGGATGCCTGGTTCATAGAAATCACGCGGTTTCTCGTTGAAAAAGGTGTCAAGGTGGTTTTTGACGTCTTCCACATTTTTAAATTTTTTCCATTCAAATTGTTCTGTAGCGATCGAAACAAATGATAATCAGAAGGTGCAATGTCGGGTGAATATGGGGGATGCGGCATGATTTCCCAATTCATCTCCTTCAGTTTGGCCAGGGTCGGTTTTGCAACATGTGGCCTGGCGTTGTCATGATGGAAAAGAACTCCTTTGCGATTGGCCAAAATCGGACGTTTTTCATCAATTGCTTTCTTCAATTCGACCAATTGCTGACAATACTTGTTGGCAGTGATCGTTTCTCCAGCTGGCAAGAGCTCAAAATAGATCACGCCTCGGATATCCCACCAAATGCACAGCAGTACCTTCATCGGATGCAATCCACCTTTCGACATCGGTTCCGCCCCTTCGTGTGCCTGTTTCCATGTTCTTTTGCGTTGAACATTGTTGTACAGGATCCATTTTTCATCACCAGTCACGAGCCGATCCAAAAAAGGTTCGTTTTTGATCCGTCGAAGCAAAGAAATTGCTGTTGACATACGGTCCACTTTGTTTTTTTCACTCAACTGATGTGGCACCCATGTATCGAGCTTCAAAGTGTACCCAACCTTTTTTAAACGACGAAACGCAGTTGATTTGTTGACGTTCAATTCACTGGCAACCTCTTCCGTCGAAATACGTGAGTTATTCGCAACTAAAGTCCTTAGAACATCGTCATCAAGCTCAGAAGGCCGTCCACTGCGAGGTTGATCTTCGAGGTTAAAATCTCCAGAACGAAATTTCGCGAACCATTTCTTTACTGTGCGGAGTGCTGGAGCACGGTCCAAATAAACTTCGCGAATATCTTTAGTTGCAGCGCCTACTGTTTTTCCTTTGCGGAATTCGTATAACATAATATGACGCATATGATCTTTTTCGTTGTCCATCTTCCATGCGTCTTTCCACTAAGCAACTCAAATCAAAATGAAGTTATTTTATGCTTGATTTACAGTTCGAACTGTCACCTTTCCAACGATATATAATATGTATATATTTCTTTCACGAGCGCCACTCTCAACCGATTCGAACGGCATCCAGCGGAATCGGGCACGAACTTATGCACTCATCCAATATTTCATGTACATCACAGGTATAAAAAGCATGAAATCAGATCTGAAAAAAGTAACCAAGTGGAGGTCTTCTAATGAAATCATTATGTTAAAGAGACTTTTCTTAGAGGACGATGTTTTATTTCTGAGTTTTTTATTCTCATATCAGTTTCAAAATCAAATCAACTACAAAATTTTCACTTATTGTTGCATGTATGAATGCAATTGACTTTAATACACCATACACCCTGTTTAAGGCTTACATTAAATGTAATTAGAACTGCTGATATTGTTTTGTAGAAAGCACTTAAAAGCCATTACCAGCACTAAAACAGTTGTAGTGTTTTTAAAAGTTGCCACCATTGGATTTCTCTAATGTCCGACAACTCCTTTTTGTTGTCATGATAGTTGTAACTCTATAACCTTATTTTACACATTTTTCTTATTCTTATTTCCTTTGGGCGTTGCAACAAAGCAATGGGAGCGTGTACAATATAGCACGTTGTGGATATTAACGGTAAATATTAAAGAAAGTATAACATCATCGCATGCAATAGAATCTCATAAATAATGCAACAACAAGGTGAAAGCCAAAGAAAACTACACATTAAATAATCTGCAATGAAATTTAAGTTAAGGCCTCCAAGTTACAAAGTTAAATGGGTTGGGCTTTGTGGGGAAATTTTCCGCTTTCGATGATTTTCAAGGTCTCCCAGTTACGAAGTTATTCGCTAATAGCTTTTCTCAGATAAAATTTTAGAATTTCAATATTTTTTGGGAAACATAGTTTTCAGCATGAACCAGTCTTCAATGGGTAACAGCAATTGGTTTTGACTCCACCCTTATGGTATTGCCGACTTTTTAATTACTTAGAAAGACAAATTCTAGGTACAATATATTTGGAAAGTCTAATAAATTCCTTTGTGAATTGAATTGTAAAATTGATTTTGTACCCGAAAAATTAAGCTCCCCTTAATTGACGAGTGAGTATCAATTGAAAATAAACGCACTCCTTGGGGACTGAGTGCAATGGAGAGTGTACGTAGTTACGTGAGAGATACAGAGAGAAATACCAATGGGTGTAGTCCTTTCACGACGGAGCAGGAAATTACTAAATTATTGTGACTGTAATTGCATTCTTTCTTCTGTCAGTTATCAGCTGTTATTTTTGGCTTGCTTTGGAAGAAAAGTGCGCGAAATTTTGTTTAATATGGAGCCCACAAAGGAGCATTTTCGTCATACTTTACTTTATTATTTCCGTAAAGGAAAAAACGCGGAGCAGGTTGCTAAAAAGTTACGAGATGTTTATGGTGATGAAGCCTTAAAAGGAAGACAGTGTCAAAATTGGTTTCGCAAATTCCGTTCTGGAGATTTGTCACTTAAAGATGAGCCACGTTCAGGTCGGCCAAATGAAGTTGATGATGACCAAATCAAAGCATTAATCGAATTGGATCGTCATGTAACTGAGCGTTAGATAGGAGAGAAGTTAAATATACCAAAATCAACCGTTCATTATCACATAAAAAGTCTTGGACTGGTGAAAAAGCTTGATATTTGGGTACCACATTTATTGCAAGAAATTCATTTAACACACCGAATCAACGCTTGTGATATGCATAATCATAACTGGAGATAAAAAATAGATTGTTTACAACAACGTTAGTCGAAAACGATCATGGTCCAAGCATGGTGAACCAGCTCAAACCACTTCAAAGGCTGATATCCACCAAAAGAAGGTTATGCTGTCTGTTTGGTGGGATTGGAAGGGTGTCGTATATTTTGAGCTGCTTCCAAGGAACCAAACGATTAATTCGGATGTTTGCTGTCAACAATTGGACAAATTGAATACAGCCATCAAGGAGAAGCGACCAGAATTGGTCAATCGTAAAGGTGTCATATTCCACCAGGCCAACGCTAGACCGCAAACATCTTTGGTCACTCACCAAAAACTGAGTGAGCTTGGCTGGGAACTTTTGATGCATCCACCATATAGCCCTGACCTTGCACCATCAGACTACCATTTATTTCGATCTTTGCAGAACTCCTTAAATGGTAAAACTTTCGGCAATGATGAGGCTATAAAATCGCACTTGGTTCAGTTTTTTTGCAGATAAAGGCCAGAAGTTCTATGAGCGTGGAATACTAAACTTGCCAGGAAGATGGCAAAAGGTTATCGAACAAAATGGCAATTATATATTTGATTAAAGTTCATTCTAAGTTTTATTAAAAATGCATTTACTCTTTTCGGGCAACCCAATATATGGTTACTCCAGAAATCCAGTCATCTTTTTACGACTATGCAGTGTAGGAAGATTAATGAGTTATAAACGACTTTTATAAGAATGAAGATTCTTACCCGTATCCCAATGTTATTTCCTTATGCGAATAGTAGAAATTGCTTTTGTAGAGATTCCAATTTATTACAGTTCACATAGTGTTGATACCATTAAACTGAAGAGTATTCCAAAATGGGTCTCACAAGTTAAGTAAATTTTGTAATGTATGGTTCATTGAAATCCTTAGCTCAACATTTACTGAAAACTAAGACGGCTTTTGACTTAATTCCATTGTAACACCGAGCTGCAAGAGTTCTCTGTCTTCAATACAACAAACGATTAAAAAGCTTGACATAATCTGCGTATGTGAGTGTTTTAGAACGCAGAGCCCCGTTGATGTATATAAGGAAGAGTAAAGCGCCAAAGTGATTGAGGAACACTAAATGTTATTGATATTTCCCGTGATATTCAATATTTAAAAATTATTATTTGTTTTCCACCAATCAAATGCGATGAAATCTAATTGAGAATTAAAGAAGGAAAGCTGAAATAATAAAGTGAAGGAAAGACTGCTTTGCATTATTTTCAGTCATTTTTGAAGCCATACTGACTAGTGAATTCTTATAAGTTTAAGTATTTAAATTTATTGCTTTGAGAGATGATACATGACGGGTGGACTGGTTTGTCGTTTCAGCGTATATGGAAACTTTTCGAGCGGCAAAGAACTCCGTTTTAAGTACTGTATTGAAAAAACAAGCCTTAACAGGTTAAGAGTAACTAGATCATAGTAAGACGCTGTTTTGAGTTTGATTTTTTCAATTACGCTTTTTTACATTGGCTATGAAGAAACCTTGTAAAGGTCCATTTGATGAGAGTGTTCGATTGACACTTTTTACTGTAAATTCTATGGTCAGAGTAATGCCGATATTTTGAGATTACTCCTTGCATCCAGAAAGAGTAATTATTCGATGGTCCACAAATAGCGCCTTTACAAACAAGTTACTTACTTTTTGAACTACTATAAACATAAAATTAATGGCCGGAAAATCCAACCGCTCAAATCTGTACATCATCTAATGAGTTTAATGATAAACCAAACTTTCATTTTTTTTTATTTTTTGACATATTCCTTACATTCTCTGTTATAATTCTTTTTTCGATTACAAAATGTCTCTTACGAAGAATTAATTTATTTAATTCACTCATTATCAATCTTTAGCGAAAACCAAACGAAAATTGTAGTAATGACTCTCACTCCTCACTCATGGGAAGAATAATAGCAAATAATCTTTTGATCCATGTTTTGTTATCATCGTTTGAAAAATTGAACGCATACTAATATAAATCAAAAAGTTTTAAGAAGAAAAAGTTTTTCCATGTAAGTTTCCAAGTGTAAAATATTCATCACAAGAACAACATAATTCTGATATTTTTTTTGGACAAATTTTTTGCAGAAGATGGTTGAGAACCAATGGTTTGTAATGCCTTAGCAGAGCTATGTTAATGATCTTACGTGTATACATGGTTTCCAAATTGGTCAAAAAAGTGCATATTTATGAACATAACATTCAGTTTCGTTGTCTTTTTTAACTGCTTCAGCATACAACTGTTCGAAAATTTTCACTCAATGACTACAAAAGAGATATTCTACGCTGCGTATGATGAACTTTTTCACTTCACTCAACCGTAACAGCAACTTGGGCCGCAATATACTGTACATATGTATATTATATATGAAAATAAAAAGTAGAGGAATATTAATACTTCGTCAGAACAATAAGTATAAATTCAAAGAGACTTTCAAATTTTAACTACAGAAACTGTTTAAAGAAAAATGAAATAATATTTTATAACAATTATACATGAAAGTACGACGCTTTTAATTTTGATTTTAATTTTTTGCTGAAATTCTAATTTTGAAAACGCACTACATCTATAATCCGGTGTAGAAATAATCAGCATTTTTGAATCTCGGAATGAGACTGTAACGCTTACTTAAAGAGACTAAGGTTAAGAACATTGCAACAAGTTTGATTAAATTTGATATGTTGATACTCTAAACCACGGATTCTCAACCCATTTTTATCCCAGCACACTTTTCGTAATTAACTCTCCATTGAATAAACTCATTTTAATATAAATTTTATTATAAATTATATTTTAAAATATAAATATTTCCAAATTGCCTTCTTGTGGTCTGCCCTTTATAAAGTATATATTATAGTAATATTGTTGTGAAAATGCGAGGCGAATGTCAGCTGAAAGAGAGAAGCCGATAACTAGTACATTCTAGAACGATAAAATGAGAACCTTCGATAGCGAACAACTCGATGCTTCTACGCTTTCGTCTACGAGCAGCCGACTGCTATATAAGGGCGACACTCAGCTGTCAAGTCAAGTTAGTTACAAAGTGAACTCGTTTGCGGCAACATAGAGTATAGCGGAATAAACTGTTTGAGTCGTAAAGTAAACGCGTTGGAGATTACATTTAAGTAAAGTAAATTGGGAAGGTTTATACAAGTGATTGTAGCTAGTAAAGTGCATTGTAATTGAACTGTGAATTACTGAGTAAATAAAGGACGTTAGATAAATTTATTATAACGAAAGAAGCTACAAATTAAGTTGGCGAGTTTTTATTTAACAATTCAGAGATCGTACCCGAAGGATTCAGAAAATCATCGAGGTTGATTAAGCAAAATCGTTACAATATATTCATCTTATATGAGTTTTTAATTTTGTATGAAACTAAGACAAGCACTTCATTGCTTTTCACAAACTTTTACTTGTTTGTATCTTACAGATAATAATTTCCGAAAATAGCTTTTCTACTTGATCATCGCGTTGGATGGTTAGTATGCAAGCGATGGCATAAATTTACCAATCAAAATTTTAAGAAGCTAAAATTATTCATACATGTGAGTAACATTTTTATTTGTAGTGGACCCGGTATCGTTAGTTTGACCACTAACACTATTATGATCATTATTTTGGTAAAAAGGAAAAGCGCAGTTTGGCGCCGCAAGGTCAAGAGCCCACCTTTGTCCATAATTATAGAAAATTCATTTGAGTAAAAATTAAATAAGTTCGTCAGAAAATTGTTTCAGCATTTACGAAGTTCAATTCAAGGTGGTCAGTTGAGACAAATACACTACTTTAAGTGTCATAGTCATAGTGTGCCTAGTCCAAAAGTGATTTTCCTTATGAAATGTGTGCTCCGTATAATGTTCATATTCCGTGCTCAATTCAGAAATGAATATCATATACGGTAGCTCTTTATGAAACCATTCAAATATCTTCCTCATCTATGTACACCGACGTACCGTCTTTTATATGTATATTGTAGCATATTTTTAGGCGGGACCAGCTGGATATTCTATATGATGACAATGGGTTCTGCACCTGCTGCGATAATAGCTGCTAAATCATGCACAATATAAGTATATGCAAGAATAAAAGCGTTTAAGGGGAACCTCCCCCATCTTTGGATCAAAAAATCATTTTTTTTTTTCAAAAAAGGAAAGCCATATATTTGTAGAGTATGTGTTTGCAACACAATGAACATTTTTAAAATGGCAGATTTTCGTACACACCTGCTTTACGCACGTTGCGAAGTTTCAAAAAATTTCGAACGCGTTTTTCTCGAAACAATGTTTTCCGATCTAACTTCAAGCCCCGGGCTTGATATAACCGTTGAATTTATTTTATCTAAAAACCGTTTCAAAGTATTTATATAGTTTTTTGTACGTCTTGAACCTAAGATTAGCATTAATAATTAATTATTTATATTTTTTAACGTAATTGAAGTGAAAAAGTAGCAAAAAATTTAACATTATAATTGAAAATGAGAATGAAATTGTTTCAATTGAGGTTCAGAAGGTAGAAAATTTCATGATTTTCCAGTAATGACAACGATTCTTGATTTCAGTCTACTACAAGAGGTTGTAGGCTTCAAGGTGTTGGGCCATGTTTTTCGCGCAGAGGCTGACGGAGAGCGTCATTTTGTAGCCGTCATTTCGGTTTCAACAATTTCTTGCCGTTTCAAAATCTCAAATAATAAACAAATTTAATTGTCAAAACCGGAAGTTCGTACGCCTTTTCATTCTCCCAGGAAAATACAAAGTTTGACTGATATTTGCACAATATCAGTGGAGGATCCTCTTGTATTTACGATTTCTGCAAATACTCACTGAACAATATCTTCTTACCACTATGAAATTTGGTAATACATATTACATAACAACCTGGCACTCCCTGTAAATACAGCCAGGTTGCTTTTTAATATAGATATATGCTATGCTGAGAATATATTTTCTTTCATTACTGAAACGCAATGAGATCAACATATACATGCCCAAAAAGAGAAAATAAAATAAAATAAAATAAAATAAAATAAAATAAAATAAAATAAAATAAAATAAAATAAAATAAAATAAAATAAAATAAAATAAAATAAAATTAAAAGAAAGAAAATAAAATAAAACAAAATAAAATAAAGTAAAATAAAATAAAATAAAATAAAATAAAATAAAATTAAAAGAAAGAAAATAAAATAAAACAATATAATAAAATAAAACAAAATAAAAAAATAAAATTAAAAAGAAAATATAGTATATAGTATTTAGTATATTGGGATACAGAGAACCTTGCCCGAATGTAAATTTTTTAACAAACGAATTAATTCACTGCCAAAGAAATTCGAAAGATTGGAATAAATATATATTGACTTTGATGTTTTTTTTATTTATATTTAATTTTAATTTTTGCTTTTTCAGAAAAAATATTAGTTGCTTTCAGCTTGTTTTAGGAGAATTGTAGGAAAATATGAATTTATGTCTATAACATGTGAGCGAAGACAACGAAAACAAATTTTTTTTAGCAGAAAGTGGTTTTCGTGGCAAAACTTGCGTTTTCGTTCCAGCCGAGTGAAAGGTATTATTCGTCGTTGCCAAAAATGCAATGTCAAAAAATGAGCACCTTTTGGTGTATAACATATCGAAACGCACACAGGGACATGCCAGGCAACTGCTTGCCGGACGAACTAGCAATGGTAGGAACCCTTCTACCCACGATAAAGCGTACACACGACGCTGGCTCACCTCTGTCCACGGCAAAGTACATGCATAAACTGACTTTTACCAGAGAAGCTGGCTCAAGTTGGTTGAACGAGATCACGTGTAACGTGACCGAACAGCTATGGCCGAAGCTGGACGCGAAAAAAAAGCAAAACAGCTTATCCTTTTAGATCGGTTATCCATTAACATAACGATGAGCAAAATTACTGGACACTGTTTAATGGGGCTTCACGGAAAAAGAATGGAATATCATTCTAATGATTTGGCCGCAGCTGTCGGGATATTTTATTAGATCGCCTAAATTATATGGAGTTATTTGTTGAGTAAAATCGTAAAATTTGAAGCAATCAATTGGTAGTGTGGCGGCTAACTGACTTATGCAACTCTTGTGTCGTTATGTTCTTTTTA